CACCAGCGGCAAGAGATGGCTACCATCCTCACGGACTTGCACGACGTACCGGTGATGCTGGGCAAACTCTGGCAGGCAAAGAACCAGAAAGCAACAACCTGGAATCACATCACACATCCATGGTTCGTCAATTGGCACGTCAGAGACACAAATTGGCCATTGAGCATGCCCTCAGAAAAAGGAGTTGCAGAGGTGAAAGGAACCATCTACAGCACAGTGGCGATTAACCTTTTGCTGGAAGGTTTGACACAGAGCATCGACGTCGCTGGCCTGGCTGGTGAAGATCGGACCCGCGCCTTGCGCAGCTGTTGTGCGCACTTCAACGTTGCTTGCTCCAGTCGCGGCCATGTGTGCCGTCTCCTCCTTTCCAACAACCCCGAGAGATTCAAGTTTGATCTGAACCCAGCTGATATCGAGCGGCTCTACGGGGGCACCTCAAGCAAGAAAACCAAAACCCAGAGGACCACGGGCATTGCTCACGGACGCCAAGCCAGAGCACCCATGCAGATCAACGACTGAGAGACACATGAAAAGTCAGAGCATAGCTCAGACATACCTCCACGGAAAACGTCAGAGCATAGCTCAGACATACCTCCACGGAAAACGTCAGAGCATAGCTCAGACATACCTCCACGGAAAACGTCAGAGCATAGCTCAGACATAACTCCACAGCGAGAACCCATGTCAAAAGAAACAACGAAGGTCAATGCAACCAGAATGGCAAAAAGTCGTGCGCCAAATTGTTAGCAGACCATTCTTCATTTTGTGCTGCCTAAGCTTACTACAAGTGACACCCGAAGAATCCAATGTGCACGCAGGCAACCTATCCGGTAGCTGTGCGGGAGCCAAGACCAATGGAACCAAACCGTATATATACCATCTTCCTCCTACTACAGACAAACCAAAGATAGAAATATATACACGCTATACGATCAAACACATAAAATGGCTCACTGCGATCTCTCCTATATGTGATTGTTTGTTTCTTCGCGTTTTGCAAACTCTGGCTGATGCAGTCTCGTGATTTTCATGCATAGCAAGCTAGCAATCGCCTACAGAGATTCAAACCGCAGCCAGATGCCATTTTCAGTGTGTTCACTCTTTTTCAGGCATTCTCATTCAGGTTGTCACTACGAACTCCAACAAATCAGATGTCTTAAGACATCTCTCCTGTCTTGCAGCACCTGCGAAGGTCAGCTTTCCAAACCGAGCGCGGAAACCCAGATCTCTTCTACAGAATTGGACACTAGGATCTGAGACTGCGCCCGCAAGCTGATCCACTGCAGTGCTTGCGACGCCTTAATCGATCATGATCTCCAGAAATCGATTCATCCCAATAGATCTCCCTCCCGCAAATTCAATTTCAGTTCGATAAAAAATATATTTCCATTTGAGACAAACGTGTTTTCCATTTGACACAAAATTTTGCGATAAACATTGGGACACCACCCGAAGTCTCACACAATAAGAATTGGAACCCGGAAAAAGTTCCACAAACATGGACACCACTCCTTGCTGTGCAGCTTTGGATTCCACATCGCAGTTCGTTTCCTCAGCCATTTTGTGATTGGCCAAGGTTTAGAGACACAGCTGCACCACGCGTTGCAGACATCCCAGCTGCAAAGGTGCATTTACAGTTTCATCTATCGAAGATTCTGCGAAGCCAAACAGTTTGCCGAAGCATACACTGTCGCTTTGTGGAAATGTTCCTTTCCAAGCTCACAGACAATGCTTCCAGTTCTTCGATTGACCATAATCGGATACATACACAATGAAGACACGTGTTGCCTTTATAATTTAACAAATGAAATCACACGCAGGAGCCGTGGAGACCCAAGCGAACAACGCTGCGACTCGCAAAGCCTGCCAAGATTCGACTTGACTCTCAAAAAATCGCTTGCAACCTCAGCTAATTTTTTCACCAGTTGCTCTTCTAATCCACTTGCCATGCTAACCCTACTAACCATTGGATTGGGTATCTCCCTGCATTCGCTTCGCCTCTCCAGAGATCATTTGCAACCTCATATAAGACCATTTAATCAATTGCTTGACTCATCCACTTGCACAACTCCAATCACTGACTCTCGGGCAGGCTGCTGTGGCCGCTGGTCAGTTTCTCGGAACATCACCACTTAACCCTCCAAACCATCCTGGATGTATTTCTTTACTTATTCGGCTGCCTTTCTAATCCGGCTGCCTCCAAACATTCTTCATTTTGTGCCGTGAAAGCTTACTACAAGTGACAACAGAAGAATCGACTCTGCCTGCAGGCACACCATCCGATAGCAGTGCGGAAGCCCAGTGGAATCAAACCAGATATATACCATATTTCTACCGATAAATGCACACACACATCAAAAGATAGAAATATATACACGCTATAAGATCAAACAGATACGATGGTTCAGTGCGATCCTTCCTATCTTCGCTTGTTTATTCCTCAGTTTTTGGTAACCTCTCGCTGATGCAGTCTCATGATTTTCATGCATAGCAAGCTAGCAATGGCCTGCATAGATACAAATCACTTTGCTGTGCTGCTTTGGATTCCACGTCGCAGTTCGTTTCCTCAGCCGTTTTGTCTTTGGCCAAGGTCTAGACACACCTGATGCCACGCGTTGCAGACATCCCAGCTTCAAAGATGGCTGAACCGTTGGAGAGTTCTTAGGTCGATGCTGTCATACGGGAAACATTAACTGTGGATGGAAGAAACACTGCAGCAGTTGGACTATAACGAAATTATAATGGAATGAACCATATACCAATTGGTGCAACATTTCTTCCATTAACAGTATGATTCTAATATAGATATGAGTTCTTTTTTGGACTATCAACATTAAAAAACATAGTATATCAACATGTTTCATCATCATTATCGAGATTCTTGGCATTCTGTTTTAGTGAAGCCTACCTTTCTTTACCAAACAACAACAATCAAGAACCAATTCTGCCTCGGCTGTACACGCAAAAAAAAGTGACTCAGTGATGCACACGCTCAAAACTCGATTGTACATTTGCAGAGGGCTTTTTAGTTGATGACCATTTTTCTCATTATTATATAATGTATCTTGTGCTATTATCATTACCATCATTAACCACAACGATGGTGATGATGATGATGGTGATGATGGTGATGATGATCATGATGTTGATAATGATCATGATCATGAGTGGTAATAATGTTTTCGTGATGATACTGGTGCAAAAACTTCAATATCAAATAGATCATTGTGACTGCAATGGTTCTCGTGATAATGATAACAATGATGACGATTATTTTGATGGGGTTGCTTGAGCGCTTGATGCTGTTGATGGTGCGGATACTGACAGTCTGGTCCCGAGCCTCCACAAGGTTGCTGGGGACATCCCACCCCGAATTCCAGCTGGATGATATGCTTTTAATCCATAGGTGGACGGAAATGATATTAATAACATGTAGCTACAAATAAATCATGCCTATGTAGCATTACACCATCCACATAGGTGCTAGAAATCATAACCAGTCACCATTGGGGGATTCGATTTCACTATCATAGCAATGGTACACTCGGCACACTCGGCACACTCGGCAGACTCGGCACACTCGGCACACTCGGCACACTCGGCACACTCGGCACACTCGGCACACTACGCACTCGGCACACTACGCACTCGGCACACTACGCACTCGGCACACTCGGCACACTCGGCACACTCGGCACACTCGGCAACCTCGGCACACTCGGCACACTCGGCACACTCGGCATACTCGGCACACTCGGCACACTCGGCACACTCGGCACACTCGGCACACTCGGCACACTCGGCCATGCGCGCCAAGCGTCCCAAGCGCGCCAAGCGACCCAAGCAACCCAAGCGACCCAAGCGCGCCAAGCGCGCCAAGCGACCCAAGCGCGCCAAGCGCGCCAAGCGACCCAAGCGCGCCAAGCGCGCCAAGCGCGCCAAGCGCGCCAAGCGACCCAAGCGCGCCAAGCGACCCAAGTGCGCCAGGGACACTTGCACCAAGACCGCCCCACATCACTTTGCCAGACCAAGCGATCCAAGCGCGCCAAGCGCGCCAGGGACACTTGCCCGAATACCGGCCCAGATTCCCATTACTCTCGTGAAAAGCGAGTTTGTGTAAAAGTGGTTTGTGTAAAAGCTGGTTGGTGTAAAAATGGGTTTCGGCAAACATTGCTTGGTGTAAAAGCGCGATAAAGCGCGTTTGTGGAGACCCCTCTGGGGTTCGGCATTTTTTCAAGTTTTCTCCACGTTTTACTGCCCGTTCTCGCCCCTGGGAGGCCGCATTTTTCCACGTTTTCTCCTCCGGGTAGAAGTACGTTCTAATCTGCCGATTTTGCGCCCAACACTTTTCATAAGCACCTGCCACTCCTGCTCTTCCTCTGCACTCACGGCCTTCTCCGCATGCACTCTCACAGCCATCCCGCTTGCATGTACCAACTTGACTCCTTTCTGTTCAATCTCCAAGGTCTTACACAAAACAGCTTCTACACAAACCAACTTTTACAGCTGATGGTGATGAGGCTGCTGCTGATGATGATGATGATGATGATGCTGATGGCGATGACCACGGAGACGATGATGATGTAAATAAGGTCAGTGCTAGTTTGCCTGAGAGACGGGACTAGACAAGACGAGAGTATGCTAGACTATGGTGTATATGATTGTATATGTGGAGGGGGAGGGAGCGAAACCAAAAATCTGCGCATAGAACATTAATAGGTGAAGCTAAGGCTATCACAAGGTTTGCAACAAGAACATACGCAAAACACGCCAGCAGGCCGGCGGGAGTCAGTGAACATTTTGTATGTAACAGCCGTGCTGTTATGATTTTCACCAAATCGAACTGAAATCGATTGAGCTGGATTGACATGATCTAAATACATGAACTAGATTGATATAATCGTTTTGATATCGGTCCAGACTTACCTGGGTTTTTGTGAACCCTGGCTTTCTGATAGTCTTCTGACTCTCAGCCATCTCAGCCATCACAGCCATCACCACAGACCGCTTCGATGCGCTTTGAGCGCATCATGAATGAGACCAATGAGCTCCAGAAAATGACGGAGGTGACCGTTTCTTGGTATGGCAGATATGGGAAAGGATTGGAAATCAGTGGGGTGGATCATGAGTGTTGTTTTGGGGAAGAAAGGGGTCAATCCAAACGCTAGTTTCAAATAGGTTTGACATAGACACGGAAACCAGATGTGGAAAACATCTCGATTGCTTTTGTGCTAGGCATGGACCGGCATGGAATTACCAAGGAAATGAAAACGATCCGGCAACAAGAAACCTTAGAGGTGAAGGAACAGGACAGAGCCCTCCAAACTCGCAAATCACAGGCACATCATTTCAGTTGTTGCTGGGCCAGTAGACTGATTCAGTGACGTGAAACAAGGGCCACGTAGAGCAAAACTGTGCCTTTCATGTGCGTTTAGTTATCGGCCACACTTCTGCAAGACCGTTACTGAACCGGCGCCAGAAGAACTGGGTATAATATACGTCAGGGAGAGTGGTTTGCCTTCCATTCTTCGATGTCATTAGGCAAAATTTGGAACATTTTGGAACTCATTCAGTGACAGATTGCCATACATTGGAACCTGTCGGAAGCTCCTTGTCAGGAGCTACGAGAACTGAAAGAGAAGCTTCGCCGGCTGAAACAAGGTGCTGTTTACATCTGCTTACTTGGTAGGTATTGGTACAGTGTAGGAATGTTGTGTAGGGGCTGTATGGTGCTGTAACATTCTGAGATGTGAACATAGTTGCTGAATGTTGTTCTCCTCTAAACAGTACTGCAATTGCTGTATTTTGTGCATGCCCGGGATTGTTTCATGCCGGTCATTAAAACACACGCATCTATTTCATTGTTGACAGACAACGCTATGAATTTGGAAGGGAGGGGTATTTTTTTTTGGGCTGGCTTTTGGCTTCTAGCTTTTGGATTTTCGCTGGCTTTTGGCTTTTGCGTCTGGCTCCTTCGGCTTCTGGCTTGTGGCTTCTGGCTTCTGGCTGCATTTTTCTATGGAGGGTATCTTTTTTTGGGATTTGTTTTTGTTTTTAGTTTTTTTTAAAAGTCTGGGGCAGATTGGGGCAGCTTCCCTTGCTATTTGCTGCATTTTGGAGCTAAAATCTCCCATTTGCATGCCCACTTGGCTTTTGGCTTTTGCCTTTGTCTTCACTTGGCTCTTGGCTTTTGGTTCTTGGTTTTGGTTGGCTTTTTGGCTTTGGTTTCACTTGGCTTTTGGCTTTTGGCTTTTGGCCGCACTTCTGTTGAATGTATGTGTAGTATTTTTTAGTTTGCATATAACATGTCATAATTTCATATAATACACTGCATATAATTCACTTGTAAACTGCACAGAAACTACAGACGTAATACGAGCTTATATGCCTGCTGTGAGAGGAATTGAGACCTGTTTTCAACAAGTGTCCAGACTACTTTTTTTGCTCAAAGTTCTTAAGACCGTATTTCAAGACACGTGTTGATCTGTGTTCTCCAACTATATTTGCTGGAATTGTGTTTCACAATGGTTGCATGGCAGTCAAAAGTTTACCTTTGAGTTTGTATGCGTGTGAAAGAACTTGCAACCTCTTTCAACATTAAGTGTCCTAACTAGCTCTTTTTTATGTCTGAAAAAAAGCGTTTCAGGACACTTGTTGAATCTGGTCTCCAACTATATCTACGTGACATGCTTGGTTTCTTTAGGATGTCGTTTAGGGTTTCATTTAGGGTTATTTAGGGTTTCTTTAGGGTGTCACACAAATCAACTCCCCTAAATTAAACGCCAAAGATACCCTAAAGAAACCATAAATGTCTCGCTAAAGAAACCCGAAATGACACCAATGAACCCCCAAAGAAACCCTAAATGAAACCCTAAAGAAACCCTAAAGGAAACCGTAAAGACACCCTAAATGAACCCCAAAATGACACCCTAAATGAGCCCTAAATGACATCCTAAAGAAGCCAAAAATGACAACCACAACCACAACCACAGCCACAACCACAACAGTAACATATAACAACATCAAAAATCGATCCAAACAATCGAGAAAAGCAACACCTGGGTGCAAGTCTAATGGAACGCATTGCGGGGGGAGGCGCTGCGCCCTCCCCCCGCGCCCCCCCACCCAATTTTTCTTTTAATCCGGCCCTCCCCCTTCCTGGAAAGTCAACCAACAACAACAACAACAACAACGACAACAACAACGACAACGACAACGACAACGACAACGACAACGACAACGACAACGACAACACAACAACAACAACAACAACAACAAATACAACAAATAACACTTTCAACACCCGAGCAAAACAATCACAAACAACAGCAACACCAATTCCAAAATCGTGCAAACCAATACCAGAAATCGATGCAAACAATCGAGATAAACAACACGGGGGTGCAAGTACAACAAGAACAAGAACAAGAACAAGATCGCAAGCAAGAGCAACGCCAAGTCCAAAATCGTGCAAAACAATGAAAATCAACGAGTACGACCGCAAGAATTGATGAACAACGCTAGAAAAGCAACGACAAGTATAGAAAAACCGATGCAAAGGCGAGAAAAAGCAAGAAGGACCATCGAAAAACTTATGGAAAGCGCTAGAAAATCAAGGAAACGCGTTGGAAAATTAGCGAAAACAATGGAAAATGGATGACAACCGCTGGAAAAGCAATGAAAAAGCAAGGAGGCCACCCCGAACAAAAAAAAAGCAAAGAATATGCCTATATTCTTTTCGCGCCCATTTGGAAGCCCTGGGTTTCGGAGGAGTGGGAGCGAAAGCTTGCGATTGGGTATGAGCAGATTCAGATCTGATGGCTAGTGGGATGTGTCTTTTGTCATCTCTCGTCTAGGCAGCGACCGCAGCAAAAGCGAATACCAAGCCTTCAAGCAAGACCTTGAGGCATGGCATAGATCGCTGGGAACTGATAGTCCCGGAGTCCCGGTGGATCTAGCTGTGCGATTTTACACATCGGGTAAACCGGGTAAACAGCGTAGAAGATCATAGAAAATCATAGAAGATCGTAGAAGCATTGGCAAATTGGATCAAAATGGTCCATGATGTCCATGTCACAATGCCGGAGAATGGCTGTTTGAAGATGTTTGAAGTTGTTTGTTTTGCACGTCAGGATGAGCGGGACGTTGTGGTGACACGACTGAAATCTGCACAGCGGCTGATGGATGGCTACAGCGAGCAGAGACCTGGCTGTCGAAAGGTAATCGAACCTGGCAATGGAACAATCGACAACTTTGTTTGTGTGAATACTATAAATTATTTTGATTTATGATTATATAATGTATTATAATTATCATTTTATATGATAACATTATTTTGTTATGTTATGTTATATCATGTCATATCAGATATCATATCATATTTATATATATGTATTTGACAACATATTATTTTCCATCACATTATATACATACATATGAGATCATATTAGATTGGAGTACAGTATATGATCATTACTGTCTTCATGATCATTGCTGTTGTTATGGTCTTTTCCATGTTTTTGCTTTAACACAGCCACTGGTTTCGCCACAAGCGAGGATCGAACATCTGCACCAGGATCTGCGGGATGTACTGATGGAGGAGGCACATCGAACATGGAACACATGGAACATGCACAGAACAGAAAAAACGTGCAGATTTGTTTTTTCCCCAAAACAGTGTGCTGTTAGAGGTTCTTAATGCTTTCTTATGGTGTCCAGCTTGGTGTTGGATGGTGTGTCCGCCTTCCCGAGGTCTTGTCTCCCCTTGTCTCCCATTGTCTCCCTTCTTGTTTCCCTTTGTTGGATGGTGTGTCTTCCCGAGGCCTTGTCTCCCTTGTCTCCCAGCTGGTCTCCCAGCTGGTCTCCGTTCTTGTTTTCCATAGTCATTTATGTCCCATTATTTCCCTATTTATTCACCAATTTCTTTCCCTATTTATTTCCCTATATATTCCTCATTTATTTCCCTATTTATTCACCAATTTCTTTCCAAATTTCTTTCCCTATTTATTTCCCCATTTATTTCCCTATTTGTTTCTCTTTTTATTTCCCTATTTATTTCCCTATTTATTTCCCTTTTTATTTACCTATTTATTTCCCTATTTATTTCCCTATTTGTTTTCCTTTTTATACCCCTATTTATTTCCCCATTGATTTCCCTATTTATTTCCTTATTTATTTCCTTATTTTTTTCCCAATTATTTCCCTATTTATTTACCTATTATTTCCCTTTTTATTTCCTTATTTATTTCCCTATCTATTTCCTACTTATTTCCCTATTCATTTCTATATTTATTTATTTCCCTGTCTATTTCCCGAGTTATTTCCTTAGTTATTCCCCTATTTATTTCCCTATTTATTCCCCGAGTTATTCCCCTATTTAGTTCTTTATTTATTTCCCTATTTATTTCCCTATTTATTTCCCTATTTATTCTCCTATTTATTTGCCTATTTATTTGCCTATTTATTTCCCTATTTATTTCCCTAGTTATTTCCCTATTTATTTCCCTATTTATTTCCCTTTTTATTTCCCTTTTTATTTCCCTACTTATTTCCCCATTTATTTCCCTATTTTTTTCCCTATTTAGTTCTTTATTTATTTCCCAATGTCTTTCCCTATTTATTTCCCTATTTATTTCCCTTTTTTTCCCATATTTCTGTCTCTATTATTTCCCCATATATTCCTTATTTCCCCATATATTCCTGATATATTTCCCTTTTTATTTCTCTAGTTATTTCCCTTTTTATTTCCCTATTTATTTCCCTTTTTATTCCCCTATTTATTTCCCTATTTATTTCCCGATTTATTTGCCTATTTATTTCAATATTTATTTCCCTATTTATTTCCGGATTTATTTCCCTATTTATTTACCTATTTATTTATTTATTTCCCTATTTATTTTCCTATTTATTCACCTATTTATTTCCCTATTTATTTCACTATTTATTTACCTATTTATTTCCCTATTTATTTCCCTATTTATTCCCCTATTTATTTCCCTATTTGGTTCTTCATTTATTCCCCTATTTATTTCCCTATTTATTTCTCTAGTTATTTCCCTTTTTATTTCCCTATTTATTTCCCTTTTTATTTCCCTATTTCTTTCCCTATTTATTTCCCGATTTATTTGCCTATTTATTTCAATATTTATTTCCCTATTTATTTCCCGATTTATTTCCCTATGTATTTCCCTATTTTTTCCCCTATCTATTCCCTACTTATTTCCGTATTTATTTCCCTATTTATTTCCCTTTTTATTTCCCTATTTATTTCCCTATTTATTTTCCAATTTATTTTCCTTTTTTTTGCACTATTTATTTCCCTACTTATTTCCTTTTTTATTTCCCGATTTATTTCCCGATTTCTTTCCCTATTTATTTCCCTATTTATTCGCCTATTTATTTCCCTATTTATTTGCTTATTTATTTAGCTACTTATTTCCCTAGTTATTTCCCTATTTATTTCCCTATTTATTTCCCTTTTTATTTCCCTATTTATTTCCGGATTTATTTCCCTATTTATTTACCTATTTATTTATTTATTTCCCTATTTATTTTCCTATTTATTCACCTATTTATTTCCCTATTTATTTCACTATTTATTTACCTATTTATTTCCCTATTTATTTCCCTATTTATTCCCCTATTTATTTCCCTATTTGGTTTTTCATTTATTCCCCTATTTATTTCCCTATTTATTTCTCTAGTTATTTCCCTTTTTATTTCCCTATTTATTTCCCTTTTTATTTCCCTATTTCTTTCCCTATTTATTTCCCGATTTATTTGCCTATTTATTTCAATATTTATTTCCCTATTTATTTCCCGATTTATTTCCCTATGTATTTCCCTATTTTTTCCCCTATCTATTCCCTACTTATTTCCGTATTTATTTCCCTATTTATTTCCCTTTTTATTTCCCTATTTATTTCCCTATTTATTTTCCAATTTATTTTCCTTTTTTTTGCACTATTTATTTCCCTACTTATTTCCTTTTTTATTTCCCGATTTATTTCCCGATTTCTTTCCCTATTTATTTCCCTATTTATTCGCCTATTTATTTCCCTATTTATTTGCTTATTTATTTCGCTACTTATTTCCCTAGTTATTTCCCTATTTATTTCCCTATTTATTTCACTTTTTATTTTCCTATTTATTTCAATATTTAATTCCCTTTTTATTTCCCTATTTATTTCCCTGTTTATTTCCTTATTTTTTTTCTTAGTTATTTCCCTATTCTTTCCCTATTCTTTCCCTATTTATTTCCCTATTTATTTCCCTATTTATTTCCCTATTTATTTCCCTATATTGATTTCCCTATTTATTTCCCTAGTTATTTCCCTATTTATTTCCTTTTTTTTCCCTATTTATGTCCATATTTTTTCCCATATTTCTGTCTCTATTATTTCCCCATATATTCCTCATTTATTTCCCTATTTATTTCCCCATCTATTTCCCCATCTATTTCCCTATTTATTTCCCTATTTATTCCCCTATTTATTTCCCTATTTGGTTCTTCATTTATTCCCCTATTTATTTCCCTATTTATTTCTCTAGTTATTTCCCTTTTTATTTCCCTATTTATTTCCCTTATTTATTTCCCCATTTTTTTCCCTATTTATTTCCCGATTTATTTGCCTATTTATTTCAATATTTATTTCCCTATTTATTTCCGGATTTATTTCCCTATTTATTTACCTATTTATTTATTTATTTCCCTATTTATTTTCCTATTTATTCACCTATTTATTTCCCTATTTATTTCACTATTTATTTACCTATTTATTTCCCAATTTATTTCCCTATTTATTCCCCTATTTTTTCCCTATTTATTTCCCTATTTATTTCTCTATTTATTCACCAATTTCTTTTCCAATTTCTTTCACTATTTCTTTCCCTATTTATTTTTCCTTTTTTTGCACTATTTATTTCCCTATATATTCCCCTATTTATTTCATTTTTTATTTCCCTATTTATTTCCCTGTTTATTTCCCTATTTATCACCCACTTATTTCCCTATTTATTTCCCTATTTATTTTCCTATTTAGTTCTTCATTTATTTCCCTATGTATTTCCGTATTTATTCTCCTATTTATATACCGATTTATTTTCCTATTTATTTCCCTATTTATTTCCTTATTTAGTTCCCTTTTTATTCCAATATATATTTCCCTATTCATTTCCCTATTTATTTGTCTATTTATTTCCCTATTTATTTCCCTATTTAATTCCCTTTTTATTTCCCTATTTATTTCCCTATTTAGTTCTTTATTTATTTCCCTATTTAGTTCTCATTTATTTCCCAATTTATTTCCCTATTTATTTCCCTACTTATTTCCCTATTTATTTCCCTGTTTATTTCCTTATTTTTTTTCCTTAGTTATTTCCCTATTCTTTCCCTATTTATTTCCCTATTTATTTCCCTATTTATTTCCCTATTTATTTCCTTTTTTATTTCCCTATTTATTTCCCTATTTATTTCCTTTTTCATTTCCCTATTCATTTCCCTATTTATTTCCCTGTTTATTTCCCTATTTAATTTCCTTTTTATTTGCCTATTTATTTCCCTATTTATTTCTCTATTTATTTCCCTATTTATTTCCCTTTTTATTTCCCTATTTATTTCCCTATTTATTTTATTTCCCTATTTATTTCAATATTTATTTCCCTATTTATTTCCGATTTATTTCCCTATTTATTTCCCTATTTATTTACCTATATTTATTTATTTATTTCCCTATTCATTTTCCTATTTATTCACCTATTTATTTCCCTATTTATTTCCCTATTTATTTACCTATTTATTTCCCTATTTATTTCCCCATTTTTTTCCCTATTTATTTCCCTATTTATTTTCCTATTATTTCCATAGTCATTCCTGTCGCTGCTATTTCATGTGTTTGACCCTGTTCCCTAAAACACGTCTTGATCCACCCACTGTTTTGGGGTCTACGGTGGTGTAATTTGGATAAAGTTAAGCATCTTTATTCCAAACTGATCTTGAATCTCCAAAACTTTTGCCTTTTGGAAGTGCACTTGCACCAGTGCGCGATGAGGACTGTTGGATTTTGGTCACTCAGAGCCTGTCTCCAGGTGGCCCGTGAGATGGAACAGGAGGCCTTGAGGAAAGCTGCAAAGGCTCGGAAGCAAAATCTGGACGTGGAAGGTAAAGGAGCATCAGCAGCATCACATCATCACATTTCAATCATGTCACATCGCCATTCAAAAAACCCACGCATCAGGCCAAAGAAGAACGAGAGGAAGCTCAGGTCGAGCATGAACTCCTTTCCTGAGATGATTTTGGAAACTCTTCGGTTCTTTTCACCCGAATTTATGTCATTTTGTTCTATTTTGTTGGGGCAATTATCGGGATGGGAATCTGACTGAAATTCGTATGTGTTACTCTTCGGCACGTGTTGGGAATGCTACCTGCTACTCAATTTGACGATGTCTCGCGCGCAGAACATCTACAAAGATGCACAAGATCAACTGAGGATGGGGTGTTGCATTGGGATGATTGGGATGTGAAACGTAGGGATTTCGTAGAGAAGTGTCCAAAATTCTCTGTCACAAAGCTGTTGGAGGCGGTGGATTTGAGCAGCGCGATGGACTCTGTTAAAGATGCAGCGTCTTCATTCTTCGTAGCTAGAGACATCATTAATATTGGGCCGGCAGATCCTTCGAATCCAATGTTGATGTTGTTGAAATATGAGGACATGATGAGGGCACAATAGATCCGATAGGACACCCGATAGGACACGACCCCGACCAAATCAAATCGTGTCGAAGAAACTCGTCACGAGGCTCACGGAGGATATGCTGCAGGCTATGAGTGCAGAAGTTTGGTCGGGGAATGTGATGACGGAACTCATTCGCTTCTCGGTTTCACTGGCTTCACGTGCTTCCATGTGCTTCCATGTGCTTCCATGTGCTTCCATGTGCTTCCATGTGCTTCCCCCAATTCTCGGAATGGTCGAACATGTCAAGGCAGGCACAGTCATAAAATGTCATAAAGACATTCCATTTCAAAAATTGGCACACTGTACCACTCATGAAAGTTGCAGCGTTCCATCGATGGGTGAGGAAAGAAGGAAGACTTTACTCAACTGGTCAAACAGGCCGAAGAAGCTGAGGCCATGGTTGCCAAATGTGGCAATGAACCAACTTCAACTGATGAACAGTTTGATGAACAGTTCAATTTCTTTAGGTTCTCCTTGAGACAGTGAAACAGGGAAACATTTAGTGAAACTCGGAAGAATTGGAAGTTGAGAAGACTCAGCTGGAAAATCCAAGGTTTGACTCAAAATGGCCAGTTGAAAACTTGAATTTTGCTGAATTTTTGCCAGATTTCCTGAGATTTCCTATGAAGTTAGGAGCTCTCCCGCAGCGAGCTGGGACAAATGGCCGAGCTCCGGCAGTGGCTTCGGGACTTCGGTCAGCCCGAGGCGCCGGTCGTAGTCCTACAGTGTCCTACAGCATCTGTAGCAGCCGCGATCGCAATGCCAGGTGGCTCGGGGGTTGAAGCACTTTGTGAAAACCAATGGAGAATCTCCTCGACCAAAGGCCTGGCAGATGGCAGATACTGCTAGCGAATCGTGTTGTAAAATTGGTGTCCATACTGCTGTGTGGAGAGTCGCACACCTTTGAGACCTTTAACGTCCTTCAATCATTTTTAATGTCCTTTATGATTGTTTTAAACTTAATAAATGATAATAAATGTATTCAACATCCGTAGATTCACGGAGGTATTTCCAGAGTATTGGAAGTCGGACAGCTGGAGGTCGTCAACAGCAGTCCCATACAGATGACCCTGGTCCTTCAGAGGCTGGACATGTCGGCTAGACTTAGGTGAACAAAGGTTGACTGACCACGAAAAAAAGAATGATAGGTATGATTCATATGATTCGGTATGATAGGTTTGTGGCTGTTCACTTGGAATTGTTCCGGAACACATTGACTGTCAGCGAACCTGTCTAGAATTTGCTTGGCGCAATTTGTGTGATACTCTAAGGCTCCTACCGCGGTTGTGCCGGCGCAGTAAGCGGCGAGAGGCTCTACAGCATGAGGCACGCTGTCATGAAGCTTGGGACGTGGGAACCCTTGGATGAGTAGATTATGACGGGCTAAGCATTTTGCCTTGATATCACTTGAATTCACTTGATATATCTTGATATCCCATGCGATGTCCTCAAGGAAGCTGGTCTTAACTTACAGCCAAGGACCTTTCGAGGCAGCAAATCCCATACGAACAAAATGTGTTTCGTATCAGTTCGTACGCGTCTCGGTCCTCTCGCTGCTCCAAACGCTTTCCGTTTCAGTCGATGTCGGTGCCAGGTGACCCACGAGTGGTGCCCCGGAGATGCAGAGCAGCAGCGATGCAAAGAGCAGCGCGAACGGTGCACGGTTTTGATGGAACGACCAGACACCTGGCAGAGAAGTGATCTGCAGGAGATTTGTAGGAGATCTGTAGCATATCTGTAGTGAAACTGTGAAGCTGTGCTCAACACCTCTATGCATCAAGAATCATCAAGACATTTTGTTTCCATTGTGATAAAACAATATAAGACATGTGATGCACACTCTGGATGCATTGTTGTGTTCAGCCGTCAAACAGATTCTCATGGGAATCCCGAGCTTTCAATGCCATCAGGACATTAACCTTCCCGGAGAGGCATGCATATTGCATCATGGAAGCGATGCTGTTCGGGGAATTTTGCAGGTTTCTTTCCGATTTTTAATGAAGTCAGTGGTACGTTTGGGTGGGACTAGAGCAAGTTGTGACACTGGCGCAGGGATTCCAAGGAACTGGCATGCAATCTGCGTTAGTAACTTTAGTATCTGCGTTGAAGCTTTGGGTATCCCTCAGAGCTAAAGACTTAGATTCTCCTCATGGTTTTGCCACTTCACCATTTGTCACCGTCATTCTTGATTCTCCTGGCAGAATTCTGGCTTCGTTCTTCGTAGCTTCTACGGTCACTGCACCTGGCGCTGGCGACTCTTTCGAAGCTTTTCAGCCCCTGCGAAGCTTCTGGGCTACTTTGAGACGTCAAACATATCAAACCGTCAAACCTCAACATGTCAACAGTTCGCGTTGAAGATCAACAGCTCACCAGAGATTGATGTAGATAAACAATGATAAACAGGCAAGTTGAAAGGATTCAAACTCCACTTTCTTTGTTGTGGCTTGCGTGATCCAAAGCAACTGCAGTGACATGACCATGCCCAAGGCTGTGGAAGGAAGGAGGCACAGTTTATATTCTGGCCATTGCGTTGATTCGTGGCAAAGAGCATCCAGTACTCGGTGAATTGTCTAAGTCAATGTGATTGCATCGGTTTTATCATGAGCGTTTTTTTTACATCAGGACGAAACGTGAGGATAGGATCATTAAATGATCAATTTTCTGTTCTTTCCTTTTTTTCATGTGACCTGTGCACCTCTGCTTGGTGCGGACATATAGTGACACAGTGACATGCTTCTGCGCAGACCATACATTGACCTCGCTTCCAAAGAGTCCGATGGAAACAAAGTCACCTCGTAAGACCGTTGCAGAAGGCAGCGTTCGTTGTGACGTGAATCAAATTCTTTGGCAGCAGAGATTTGCAGAGATTTGCAGAGAAGGTTGGCAACATGTTGGGCTTCTCTCTTGCATTAACAGCTTGATGCAAGACAAATCTCCTTGCTACCGTGGACAGAAAGGTAGTGCATCCACATCAGGTCTGTTTTGGAGCCTGTTGAAGCCTGTTTCAGGCGTCATACAAATCACTAAATACCCGCCAAACAAAACATTCAAAAACAGCTTTCACTGCGTTGACCACTTGGCAGCAATTTGTTTGTTGTGCAGCTACCAGATTACACAGGACACAAGGCTCGAAGAAGCAGCAAAGAACATGGCAGCTCGGTGCATCAAGACACGCTGATTTCTTTGAGGGTTAAGATATTCTAAGATGCTTTTCCGTTGCCTCCTTCAACGGAACCTGTTGGATCAATTCTTCTTTCTCTTGACATCTCGACATCTCGACATCTCTTGACATTCATAAAATTATCAAGAATTCCTGAAACCATCATGGAGCTATCATGAAAGCATCCCCAAACCAATCCTAAAATCAATCCCAAAATCATTTGAACAGATGATTTCATCGTGTCGTGACTTCATCGTGTCGCGTTTCCGCGAGGCACAGCGATGTCGCGGCGCAGGCTCTCCAAAGCGGCACCAGGTCGGAGATCTTGGAGAGCCATGGAGAGCCAGAGACTACCAACCGACTCAGGACCCAGGGGGACCCAATTGCTCGACGGACCATCGAAGAAGTCGAATTTCTTCGAATTTCTTCGAATTCTTGGGGAGAATTGATATGAATTTCTTCCAATATGATGAATTGATATGAATTGTGGATCTATGGTACCTGTACATAGGAGTCATATTGAGTCATATGACATGGTGTATAACATGGCTATAACATGGGTATGATTGTGCAAGATACACAATACAAGTACATGGCTTCGATGACACTCGGATGCAGATTTCGAGGTCGCAAAGCCGTGGAGACATTGAAAGACGCCAAGAGTCTCAGCAAAGGCCGGTGAGATGCCACGCGTTGCCACGCGTTGCCACGTGCCAGGTGTTGCACCAGTTAAACCCACCGCCTCGTCGCACACTGCCGACAATGTGAATGTTGAATTCATCAGGTTCCAGGGCTGATGACGACTGGCTGATGGACGACCCAGGCACCGTTGTCATGTTTCCGTATGAGATTCACATTGAGAGGTGCCAGTCATCGTTTGCCTAACCGGGATGCTGTGGATATCCCGATCAGCCTGGGAGTTTCTAACAGGTTTAATGAACAGTTAAATTAACGATAAGGATGAGGTGAAAAGAAGGAGTGAAACAGTATATCGAATTATATAGATGTTTACTGTATAATTTATAATGAATTATAATGAAACATTTGATCATCTCCGTCATCTCCTTGATTTTTTGGCTCTGCGATTTCGATGTTTTTATAAGGCACATTCAGCTTCTTGAGTCGCTGGGCTGCGGCGCCCTGGTTTCGTTGGGAGAAGGTGCCAGCGGCTGAGCCTTGCTGTAACGACGAAGGGATGGTGTGCCCGATATGTTGATGATTGTATCATATTGTATCTATGATTGTTGATGCTGACGCTCTTCTGACCGTTGCTTTGGTTTGGAGAATTTTGCAACTGTCTTGGTGTGATGAGTGTCTGGTGCTAGGTGGAACAACTGCCACGTGAACGTTGGGAAAACGCCTGGAAGAATCTGTGGGCCGACGCGAAAAAGCTCTTTGAGGTGTGGTGAACACGTTCAAGATGTCATCAGTACCACGCAGTTGGGGCTGGAACGGCCCAAAGAAGCGGTCCTTGTGCAGGGATAGCAGAAAAGAAAACAATGAGACGGTAGAACTGGTAGCCAGAAATCAGACAAGAAAAACTTAAGTAGGCATAATGTGGCATAATCAGTGTTTAACTTCTCCAACTTTAAATGTTTGCATGAACTTCGTAGATTGTAGATTTTTGCCCCGTGTGAATCCGAGCCAGATCTAGCCACCCTGCCCCTCTGCATTCAATCTATTGAACATTGCGGTGATTGAACATGAACATTTGCAGCAAAGTCTCTCAGAGAATATTGTCGTGATGCAATCACTCAGTGACTGACCAGCGCATTTGCTGGCTTATCCTGCTGGCTTCTACTCCACCCTGATGAGGCAGTTCCACCAGATGCAGAAACTGATGAAGGCATGCCAATCTTGGAGGCCGAGCCTTGTGTAAGATATCGCAATCCCTGACAGTTGGAGTCAACTCGTCTTGGACTGAGAAATAATATGACATAATTACACAGATTCTGTAGATGATTTTTGCGATGTTTTGCGCTTGTCACGGCTTGTCACGGCTATTCCGTTGATTCAATGGGGTTTGCACGTCCAGGGCGAGCTCGGGATAGCGCATTTTTGGCAGGAGGGCCGAGCCGGCACGCCAAACAAACATAGATGTGACATGTGACATAACTGACTCAGAACTGAGATAACAGATGATAACATAATGATAACATAAATGACATAAACTTTTTAGATCTTTTGGCAAAACCAGGTCCCATGACCTGATGAAGTCTCGCCGCAGGATTGCCATTTACACCTGCGTCGCCTGTGGAAGATCATCTCCAGAAACTTGCAAGGCAGGCACCACTGGGAGATGCCACGGGATCCAAAAATCTCATCAGATAGCGACTTAAAAGAACATCTATAGGATGCTATAGGTCTAGAACGGTCTAGATACGTCTAGATGGTATAGATGGTATATAGATGGGTTTAGATTGGTATAGGGTCCGCTTGCTGTGATGTTTGGGGGCGTCTGAAGCAGGACTGCCACACCTTTAACGACTTCAGGATGTCGTTGACAATGCTCAGAAGATTTTGGGAGACAAGAGACGGCGGAGCCTCGGAATGCTGGAACGGTTGGCATGTTGTCTTGGATCACCGGGAAATACCCTGTCAGTGATATCAAAAAGGAACCTGAGAATCCATTGGTTTCAAGTTTCAATCCAGAACTGTGAATAGTTAGTAATTTTCTCCAATTTCATCCACCACTACAATTCAAGACGTGTCATACTGAATGTGAACTCATGTGAACAATGATCCCGTAAATGTAGTAACTGAATCATTGTGAACCAGTCCAAAGAGATCCAGTCAGAGATCCAGTGTTGAGGAAGCAAAAAACGGGCAACGAGGAGGCAGATCAGCATCCGAGAGGTTTCAAATGGGTTTAGAGGTTTGGTCATTTCAAGTCCTTTGATTCTGAGGATCGACAAGTGCCTTTGATTTTGAACGTACGGACAGTATTTCATAGTATTTCCATGATGAGGCACAGCAGGCAGCATTTGCAGAAGAGGTTTGCTATAGATCCGCTGTATTTTTTTGCATTTTGCATCATTTTGCTAGGTTTCCCATGTCTGAAGAGTCTCAGCTTCCAGGAGAAAGAGGAACGGGAACTATCTCTGGTTTCAGACTCTGCACGCAAGCTGTTAGAAGAGAGTCGCGAGGCGCGCAGAGCCAGCCATTCAGATTTAAGCAGAGACTATTCGATCACATCAAAGCCATTCAGATAGATCAAACTTATCGGAGTCATTTCTGAGACTCTGAGACTTCGGCACTCGATGCCACTGACATCACTTGGATCGCTGACACGTCGACCTGTCATCAGATGTCACCAGGCTGTTGCACAAGGACTTCAACATCAGCAGGCTCCAGGGTCTGGCAGGGTCTGGCAGGGTCTGGCAGGGTCTTGCGGCTTGGTATTGTGGGCTGCGAAGTCTGGTCAGGAATGATGACTGAACGGTTTTGATATGATTTGATTGTGTTAAATTGTGTTTACACAGTGTACACGCTGACAGATCTGACAGGAGCAGATGTGGTTCTGCGCCATGCTGCTGGCGCAGCTTTTTGGTCTTCGCAAGGCGTTGATTTCGATCTTGGGACGGCTCAAAGTCTTGAGCGAGGAGCACGAGGCCTGAAACTTCAGACAAAATGGATCTGGCCGCTCTGGCCATGTATCGCAACTTGTTGGAGGTGCCGTGATGTCCCATGGAATGATGTTCGTTCGAGTTGGCATAGCAGTTCTACATAGCAGTTGCAACAGCGAACACTCTGCAGGACCTGACTCTTTCCAGTCGGGTGTTGGTGCACGTGTCACAATTTCCCGGAGTTCAAATGGAGGTCACCAGAAGCCACCAGCGGGTCCAGTTCTGCGAGACAGCAAGTGTCAGCAAGTATCAAATCTCAAGTTCGAAAATTCAACGAACCTGCTATCGCAGTTGAACTTTAGGATTCTACAAGATTCTTCTTCCTATTCCATCCATTTCCATCCTATTACTATACATTGCGAAAGCGAAGGCTTCTTTCGGCAGCTGACAGGTCATTTCGTTGGCAAGACACCTGCGAGCATGGCAGAGGCGACCCTTGACCACGGACACCTTGGACACATGTTGCTAGGAAACACACCAGAAAACACCCAATATCACCCAATCACATTCAAAAGTCGAACTGAATTCGTAGTGTGAAACAGAAAAGGCCGGTGATTCGAGTCTTGCCAGACACCATGTTGAACAACCATGAATGAGGTCATGAACATCATGACCAACCCCACTTCGAATACCCAGAGTCCCGGCGACAGGTCCGTGACTTTGGATACACGGCGGATCCAATGCGATCACAAGACCTTGGAAGAGGACCGGGATTCGACGGAGATTCGACGGAGATTCGACGGAGATTCGACGGAGATGACTAGAGATGGCAGATTTGGCATCGAAACGGTGGTGTGACAAATTTGACGCTCAAACACTTGGCAGCGTGACTTTGATTTAATTTTGTGACCAGGCCCAGGCTTCCAAAGTGTTCAAAGATTGAAGACCAGGGTGCAGATCTCTTTTTGACCGGTGCAAATCGGACCATTGCAACTTCTTTTTTGTTTTCTTACTGCTACTTGTACCAGTGGAGGATATGGAGGCACTCCTTCCCTCAGCAACTTCCACCAGGAATGGCACGATCTGATCGACGGTCCAAACTCCCTCCTCTTGACCATTGAGAAACACAAAGGCACGGAGAAGGATGAAGATCATCTGAGATCATCTGAGAAATTGAGCCGCTTTGAACCAATGACCGTTTTCAACATTTTGATTTATTTGATTTTGATGCTTCAGGCCCTGAACTCTCTGAACAGTTGGGGAACCAAATGAGCTAAAGTTTGTCTGTTTACCTGCAGCCCGAGTGAACACAGAACCTGAAGGAACTGGATTACCTGTGGTGTACAGTTTGTTTTGTTTTCAGCAAGAGCTACGCTGATCTATGAATGGAACTGCGGATGACTTTGAGCAGCTGAGGGCATTTCACTTGGAAGAGGCCATCATTGAAGTTTGCACCGTGGTGCACTGCCCCTTGCTTAGCCTTGTTTGACGATTTTGTATGATTTTGCGTCTTTGCTGAGACAAACAAATGAGGAAACAGGTCTCCATGGAATCGGGCCAAGGCATTTTGGAGAACCGTTGGATGAGGAAGAAGGTGCCGCCACTTGAAAGATTTGAACGATTGAAAAGGTATGAAAAGGTGTACGACTTGTCCGTTTCATGAGTGGCGAAGTGGCCCAGGTGCCATCTGCGGATCGCAAGCCCTTGGATTGGAAGTCACGTTCCCAGCAGTTGAAGGCACCTGCGGCACCTGCGGCACCTGGGCACCTGTGGCACCTGTGGCACCGATACTGGTGGATCCGGATTGAGAGCATGAAACTAAGTGGAAAACGTTCTGGTGTGACAGCCAAGTGTTCGAAGCATTTTCAAACGAAGTTTAGTTCGAAAACTTTCGAGTTACGGACAAATGTCTAGAGGCAGTCTTGTCATCATGTCACGTAGCGAGAGCTCGATTTGCACTTCAAAACGCTAAAAAACTGACAGCCGCGGAGCACTTTTGGAAGACGAGGTTGGCAAAATGTGCTCGATATAGCTCGATTTCGCATAAAAATCGCAAAAAACCTTGCAGGTTCGGAGCAGCCCGTGTTTGTGTGTGGTCAGCGCTGCGCGGGCGTTGGTGGATTTGGTGCGATGCTCCTGCTATGCGGGTTTGCAACCGGCTGTGACAAAACGCATTGGCACGGCTGCGCGCAGGAAAGGATCAGTTATGTTGCGACGCTCCTGGCAGGCGGAATTGCAGCTGGAGGTTGCTAAATGCTTTATAACAGTTGCGCGAAGAGAATCATTGGGTGCAAAGGTTTAAACGCGCAGCTGGGGGGTAGCTCAGGCAGAAGTAGACCAGAGAAGAAGTAGCTGGGAGAAGAGGTGCCTCAGCGAAGAGGTCGCTCAGTTCACTAAACTAAATAAGTACCCTGGATCGGAGGGGTTTAGATCGGAAACAATTCTCTAACCATCGGTAAGATGATAAACACGAACAAAACCGAAGAAAAATGATATAATATGAAAAAAACATGGAAAACATGGAAAAAGCGAAGAAAATTGTTTTTTATCGTCTGAAACCATATGCACATGGCCATCGTCATAATCCACCAAACGTGTTATTTCTGGTGATTTTTGAGTTCATTAATCACATCTTTATACTTTTCGGTGTTGTGTGCATTTCTGGTAGGTACGTAACCTTAATAAATAATCTAAAATGTCTCTGTTTATACTTCCATCTTTTCCACCCGTTCCTGATATATAAATAAAGTGTCTTGCCTGTCTTATATAATCCCGATGGGTTTCTGTATGCATTTGTCAATCCGTGTCTGTCTTCTGTTGCTTTTGTGTTGGCTATGTTCCTTTCTTCTTTATACAGTGTTGTATTTTGTCTGAATTGCTCATTAAGATTTCTTGCAAAGTTGTTCATCTTCTCATCTAAGTCTCTTTGTTTCTTGTCCGTGTCGTTCATCAACTCTTCTTTTCCTTGACGCATTAATTCTTCAAATGCTACTCTACCTATTCTTTTTGCGAATATATAATCTCATCTCTTCTCTTGTTAATACATGTTCTATTGCTTCACCTCCCATAATTCTCTGAACAACCTCTCTCCCAAACTGCCTTCCCACCTGTCTCAATGCATTAGTCATTGCTATTCTTCCAACTCCTGCTACAACTCCAATCATTTATTTTTATATTAATGTTTGATAAAAATCATTTCTAATAATAGATCTAATCATGAGTCATGAGTAATAGATAAACATATAAAACTATGTTTGTAGATAGTAAGTATCGCAATGCTCAATCAAAATCTTCGCCTGACTTTTCAGTGGAGTTAAACGAAAACTCAGAAACACCAGAGGAAACAAAACTCTATGTAACTGATATTTCTATTCCAGCGGTGTGGAAATCTACAGAGGTGGGTTTCTATGAATATATTAATATATTTATGTTGTGGTCTTCAATGGCAATACATTAGTCAAAATATTAGGGTATATTTAGGTAATATTATGGTAAACTGTGATTAAAACATGAAACAATCACAAGAAAGAAATCAAAATGAAAATAACAAATCTCAAAAAATCTCAAAAAATCTCAAAAAAGCTCAAAAAAGCTCAAATAAGCTCAAAAAATCTCAAAAAATCTCAAACTTGATGATAGCATGAAAAAATAAAGCTTAAAAAAAACAAAAAAACAGTTTTTTTTTGGTGGTTTTTTTTAAATGTTTTTTTGCTTATAGATTGCATATGTTTGTTGAAGTCATTGCCGCAGTCATTTGTCTTTCAGGCTTTCGGTCTCATTTCCCCCGGTAATCGCCTTTGGCATCATTTGATTTTTTGAGATTTTTTGAGATTTTTTATTTTCATGTTGATTTCTTTCTTGTGATTGTTTCATGTTTTAATCACAGTTTACCATAATATTACCTAAATATACCCTAATATTTTGACTAATGTATCGCCATTGAAGACCACAACATAAATATATTCATAGAAACCCACCTCTGTAGATTTCCACACCGCTGGAATAGAAATATCAGTTACATAGAGTTTTGTTTCCTCTGGTGTTTCTGAGTTTTCGTTTAACTCCACTGAAAAGTCAGGCGAAGATTTTGATTGAGCATTGCGATACTTACTATCTACAAAAATAGTTTTATATGTTTATCTATTACTCATGACTCATGATTAGATCTATTATTAGAAATGATTTTTATCAAACATTAATATAAAAATAAATGATTGGAGTTGTAGCAGGAGTTGGAAGAATAGCAATGACTAATGCATTGAGACAGGTGGGAAGGCAGTTTGGGAGAGAGGTTGTTCAGAGAATTATGGGAGGTGAAGCAATAGAACATGTATTAACAAGAGAAGAGATGAGATTATATATTCGCAAAAAGAATAGGTAGAGTAGCATTTGAAGAATTAATGCGTCAAGGAAAAGAAGAGTTGATGAACGACACGGACAAGAAACAAAGAGACTTAGATGAGAAGATGAACAACTTTGCAAGAAATCTTAATGAGCAATTCAGACAAAATACAACACTGTATAAAGAAGAAAGGAACATAGCCAACACAAAAGCAACAGAAGACAGACACGGATTGACAAATGCATACAGAAGCCCATCGGGATTATATAAGACAGGCAAGACGCTTTATTTATATATCAGGAACGGGTGGAAAAGATGGAAGTATAAACAGATACATTTTAGATTATTTATTAAGGTTACCTACCAGCAATGCACACAACACCGAAAATATAAAGATGTGATTAATGAACTCAAAAAAATCACCAGAAATAACACGTTTGGTATCACATGTCCCTCAGATAATATATAATCCACCAATTTACCTGTATCCCAACCAAAAAAAAAATGATATAAAATGATATAAAAATAAAAAAAATGATAAAAACATGCATTTTAATGGGATAACATGCTTAAATATGTGAAAAAGTGCTTTGTAATGCGTTTTTAAGTTATATATTTTGAGTTTATTTATGCGCATGGGGGTTCACAAAGTCTTCTGATCTAAACCCAGCTGATCTAGGGTACTTATTATTTTTGGTGATCAGTGAAGAAGCAGCTCAACAAAGAACAGTAGCTCGCCCATCCATCCATCCAACCATCCATCCATCCATCCATCCATTCATTCATGCATTCATGCATTCATGCATTCATGCATTCATGCATTCATGCATTCATGCATTCATGCATTCATGCATTCATCCATCCATTCATTAATTCATTCAGTCATTCATTCATCCACTCACTCACTCACTCACTCATTCATTCATTCAGTCATTCATTCATCCACTCACTCACTCACTCACTCACTCATTCATTCATTCATTCATGCATTCATGCATTCATGCATTCATGCATTCATGCATTCATGCATTCATGCATTCATGCGTTCATGCGTTCATGCATTCATGCATTCATGCATTCACGCATTCATTCATCCCTTCAGCCATTGGTTCATTGACTCCTTGATTCACTGAATCAGTGACCCATTGATTCATTGATTCACTTGGTGTATGGTCCATCGACTCACTCATGGAATTGAGTCAGCCATTTGTTCATTGATTCATTGAATCAGTAGTTCACCCGTTCATAGATTTATCGGTTCATTGCTTCATTGATTCCTTGAATCATTGCTGCTGATTCGAGGATTCATCTACTCACTATTTCATTGATTCATTGCACTCATTCATTGATTCACTGATTCGTTGATTCATTGATTCAACGGCTCACTGAATCATGAGTCGATTTATTGAATCATTGTTTCACTGAACCATCGCTTCATGGGTTCATTGATTCACTCATTGGCTCACTGGTCAAGTGATTCGTTGCTTCATTGGTTCACTGATTCATTGGTTCATTGACTCATCGACTCGTTGGACTGGTTCACTGGTTCTTTCACCCACTTGTGCAGTTTCTTCATCTCAAAACAAAAACGTTCCTATAGGCCATGGGTCTCCTATAGCCATATTCTATTTTCGAAACTTCCGCCCCGGCGCGTGCCGGGCACTATCTGGTAGTTTTTCTTTTGGGTAGGACGATCAGGACGAAGTATTGGAATTTAAATGTCAATGAACCCAATGTTGAACTCCATAAGCTCCTGCAGAGATCAACACAGAATTTCTCTTACATGTAGGGAGAGTAAACATAATGTAAGGCTGTTCATAAGAGTAAACTCCAGTCATCTTAGGCCAGGAAGTGTTCTGGCTGACGTTGTCAGTGTGCTGTCAGTGCGCTACGTCTACTTGGGTGGAAACTTGGTCATTGAATGTGGCTGGCACATGCGCGTCCTGTCCAGTGATTTGATCATTCTAAATATCTATGCATGGTGTGGATTTAGGATGCAGGTAGACGAAGTAGACTTACCAAAGATCATCAAAGATCTACGATGGATTGCATTGTACATTCCAACTGTAGACCTGGCGAGGCCGGTCTTCGAAAACCATTGGAAGAAAGTGCCACGCTGTCCTCGAAGGCAGTGTGGCAATCGGACTTGGTAAGCTGCGGAAGCCACGATTTCAAAATCCATCCGGAGTCAGCCAATTTTTTGCGCAGAAGATTGCTAGACAGATAGATAGATGGATAAGATAGATTAGTTAGATTAGATAGACTTGGTAGATTAGACAGATTAGATCAATGATTCGCTCTGACCAGAGGGCTGCATGCAAACATCTTGAAAAACATAACTACTTTCTTCGAGTGATCCCCACCCTGGCACATTATGCTGGCATACTTTTTGACATACCATCTAGAAGTATATATTGGATATGATGTGTATATATATAATTATTAATATACATATTCTGACATTCTATTTGGCATTCCTTCTGGCATATTATATGCTCTGACATTCTTCTGGCATTCTATCTGACAAAATTCTGACATACTTTCTGGCATATATGCGGACATTCTTTTTGGCATTCTATCTGGCATCTATTCCAACATTCTTTCATGGCATCTATTCTGGCATTCTATCTGTCAGTGGGCACTCTGGCGCTCGCGGTCGAGGTCCCGGCAGTGCCAACTGAGATCTGGCGCTCGGGGTTGGGGAGCTGGAGGAAAGGAGAAGGAGGAGGAGGACGGGGTGCACCTCTGATAAAACCTAGAGGCCCTCACCTAGCAGGCGGGGAGAAAAACTTTCTGAGACTTCTCGGCCATCTCTGTGAGGCCCAAGGGAAGAGGAGCTGCTACGCGTTGGGCAGTCAACTGGTTGTGAACGTGCTGAAGCCACTGTACGCGGGGAGAAAAAGACTTGACAAATTTGATATCGACGTTTCAACCATCTAAGATGAACTACGAGAATCTAAGGTTATGATTTTATGGTTATAATATGTTTTCCCTATCATCTCAAACCTCTTGATAGCTGTGTCTGTGGATGGCCATCGCAGGAGCGAAACAACTGCATTGCTGCGATCTCGAACTCGGGGCGAAGGCTGAGCTTAGAGCATGTCGATGTATGCCGTTTTGCGCTGCATAGATTCGACGACTTAGCATGATTTGGCCGGCCACAAATTTGCTCAACTGACAGTTTCAATCTTTTCGATCTCTTGAGACTTTCGGCAGGGGTTTCTTTATGCCCAGTTTTGCTTTCGGTGAGAGGAAGAGCAGCTAGAGTCTTGGCCTGGTATGTCAATTTTTGTGTCCTTGGCTGTCGGTGCAGGATTGTCCGATGCTCGAGCTGCTTCATCAACTTCATTGGCGGATCCAGACGAAGAGAAACCAATGTCACCAGATTTGGAGGAGCCCGAGACATGCAAATGTGCAGCGGTACTGGCTTAGAATACCCGAAAGCAAGGGAACACCAATGACTTAAACCATATCGAAAATTGCAAGTGGTCCTTGCATTTGCAGCAGAAGCTTTCAATAGAAAACTGCGTTCCTGTAGGAATGAAAACAGGGATTGGCCCGTAGGATATAGGCTACGTAGGGCTTGAGTTGTGGGTCGACAAATTCTACTCCCATCGAGCCCAAAGGAAGCTATCGCAGAACTCATGGCCCAGATGGTGCAGCAACAGGAGCTGCTGTGCTCGCATGTCGCACAGCATCTCCCAGGTTAGTTTCTGAAGATTGTTAAAAAATTGCAGGCGCATATACCACATGTATGATAGCTTATGACAGTTTGTGAGTTTTTCATGCTCTTTGAATTTCAATTCTGCTTCCTTGTTATGAACGCCAGTTTCGCGTTTTGTTTTTTTTTGGATTCTGTCTTGAGAAGGAGAGGCCAGGAAGGAAGGAAGGAAGGACGGACGGACGGACGGACGGAAGGAAGGAAGGAAGGAAGGAATGAGGGAGGGCAGGTGGCTCAGTGTACCCAAATGCTAGCTGTTAAAGGAGTGCTACTATATCAGTTTGATATTCTCTCTCTATCTAT